CATTTCGAACCTCCCAATTCACATTCTCCTCTTGAATATCCTTGCCCCTTTACTAGCTACACCTTAATGCCCCACTGTACTACTTGTAGCTACGGGTACTTGCGCCCTCTATAAAGCAAACAATGCCAAATCGGTGACCTTTGGTCCCCCATGGTTCCCTCTTTCTTATGTTAAGTGAGAGCTGATTTGATGAGATAAATAATAATAATAATAATATTTAATTTTTATATAGCGCTTAATACAAATGTCAGTGACCATGCAGGAAGGTCTAATCACTCCTGGCCAAACTAGTACAGATAGGCTTTAAAGGCTTGTTCTCTGATCTCCAGTCAAACCTGCCTTAGTGGCCACCTCTCTATATAGGTCACCTGTCTATAGCCGTACTGATAACCCACAATGCCTCCCTCTAGAAGGTAATGTGTTAAAAGAACCTGCCTGGAAAGGTCACCTGTCTACAGTGGCCACTTTTTGTACTTAGAGTGGTCTTATTAGACAGGTTTGACTGTATTACTAAATTATTTGTTACTTATCACCTGCATTTTATTTTCCCTACAAAATCTCCTCTTTAAGATTTATTTAGCCCCCTCTATGCTTATAATCCAAATCTCTTTTTCAGTTCCAAGCAGTTTCCTCACAATATTACCCACCCCTATGGACCTGATCCCAGTGTGCACATTTTAATCCAGTATTTCAATCTTCCTGGTTCATCTCTTCTTTTTGTCTGTGCAGACAAATATTTTGTAAGCACTATTTTAATCTGACAGCAAGGTTTTTTTTTTTATTGTACAAGGTCTGCTAAGAGTTTTAAGGACACTAACTCCAATATTTCAACTGAATTAAAGCTCTGGCTCTCATTTGATAATAAATGTCTGAAAGTGTTGTACCAATGTATTGTTTGGAGAAGAGCTTTCCTTGAAACTCAATGTTATAAGACCAAGCTCCAGATCGGCTGCTGTTATTAGGTTAGAAATTCACTTGGGGTATGTTGTCACCAAGGTAAAGATTTGAACAAAAATGGAGGGAAAAGTTAAGCAAGGGGGTGTAGGGGAGAGCCAGGAAAACAGAGAGCCTAGAAGGTCCTTCCCCATTAGCTTCAAGCTCGAGATGTTAGACTGATCGATACTTCTCAAGAAAACGGTCTGAGTTTGAAGTTCCTCGTTTTCATCGGGCGGAGTCAAGCAAATCCCTCTCAATCAAGAAATGAGCTCCAGCTCCAGAGCAAGTTAAGGACCGAGTATATCTTCACCAGCAAAAAAGCCCACTCTTTGTTTGGCCAAATAAGGGAATAATTCATCAAGAAGTCTTATTATGCTTGGAATAATTCATGGAAGAGAGTCATAAAATTCTGATTGGTAAATGTGACTTGAAAATTTCTTCATATTCGATAGAAAAATTACCTGTTTATGGTAAGCTTTTGCTTGCTATGATGCCAGCTTGTGTATAGCACAGAAGGTATAAACTTACAGAAACAGATAATGTTTCGACTGATTGTGAAGAAAAAGCCCATTTTCAAGTTTGCTAGTGGTCACTTCATGCCAAATTAGCCCAGGCTAGTGGGAGGGTTCCACACAACCTTTTAATGCAGATGAAAAAAGAACTTGACAATCAGTACGCATATGCCTGGTTTGAACATTTTGAAAACAATTTTTTTTTTTGGGGGGGGGGGGTTGGACTTACATGAAGATTTGGGTGCCCAAGTGCCTCAGGCACCTGTTTGTTTCAATCCCTGCTAGTGGTGATCAGGCTAATATCTTTTTTGGGTGCGTTCAAGCAATTTTTAGCAAATCACATAACAAAACGCGTCTTTTGCAGCGTTTCATGTTTGCATTGTGAAACACGTTTATTTTTCAACCGACGAAAAATAGCTAGAAATCATTTGAACGCAACCATGTTTTAAACTAAATGTCTTTGCGAACCGTGTTTCTATGTTGAAAAAGTGTCGCTTGAACGCACCCTAAATTGGAATAAGCAGGTTATTTAAATAACTTGGGCTAATGAAAACAGGTTGACACAGACAGGGAGCCTAGAGAGAGCTTGGAGAAAGGTGGGGTTTGCGAGTGGGATTTGCTAGGAGCAAACCCAGTTCTTTGCCAAAGAGAGATTTGAAATAAACACCAACTCCCTGAAATCTAGAGAACATTCAGTGAATGTCCCAAGAATGTGCCTAAGAGCTCCAATAGATGTCAATGGAATAGCTGGCAAGTGCCATTGAAACAGTGACAGCTAGCATCAGCATAAACTCTGAATTCTCAAATGGTAGATTTAATGTATTTATTTGATCTAATACCAGGACTCCAGAGTCCACTTACTTACTTGTGAGCGTCAAGTAACGCCCGGCTGGAATGCACCCCAGAGAGTGGAGATTGTGCACACAGTGTGTGCGGGCAAGCACTGAATCCAATGACCAGGATAATAGTATATTTGTAAAGCACTTAGAGACATTTGTATTAAGCGCTATATAAAAATTAAATATTATTATTATTATTATTATTATAAAAAGGTCACATACAACAGAACTATCAAGCAAGTAACATTCATGACATGAATCTTTCGGGATGTGTAAACGAGACTGATTTTAGCAACAATTGCTATGACTAAATTATTTTGCGGCATGAAACTGTCGCATATCTGCACAGCTGAACCACTCTCCAAATTCGTGAAAAATTTGGGCGCACTAAACGTTTCTTGTTCTATACTGAATATATTCTATAACTTATTCAACCTTGTGCAAACTTGAAAGATCGATGACCGCATACATTTAAGATTTGAAAGGGCAAACTTTAAAGTGCAGGCGAACATTAGTGTAGCGCTTTCAACCCCCAGGGGAAACATGGCATAACAGAGGTGCCAAATTTCAAAGACCCTTATCGAGTGGATTTTAGTTCAATCACCTTGGCGATTAAGTTTAGGAAGAATTTGGAGAAACTGGTGTACAAACCATTCCCAATATGCCGAGCATAAAGTGTAAATATATGATTATGTTTGAAAACAGTTCATAACTTTTAAGGTATTTTTTTATCCCTCAAAAATGCATTAAAAAAAAATGGAAGTTGAAGCTTTCTAACAAAATGATGTCAGGCAAAATTTATAGAAAGTGTAGAAAGTTTTGGTAGATAAATGCTGTCGTATATTCTATTTGAAATTATGAAATCTGCTTGCATCAATACAAATTCAAGGAATTTGAAAAAGAAGTGGAAATGAAAAAAATGAAATGAAATTGAATTTGACAGAGAACTTCTTAATATTTACATTTATTGCATTTTCAACTAAAATGATGTCACAGCTCTGTTATAAAAATTATATATTCTGTTGATTATAAATGTAATTGCTCCCATGCAATTAAATGCAATGATTTCAGTAGCTAATAAAAGTTACTGTAGTTTACAACTAAAACAGGTTTTAAGAAGACAGAGTCCATATTCGTTTCTCGGGATATCACAGATCTGTTTTGTAAAAATCTTCTGTCGAAACAAATTCTACTACATATCAGCTGTTGGGCAGTCAAATGCAATGAATTCAGTAGCTTGTAACAGTTACTGTAACTTTAATTGATAGCAGTTTCTATCAATTAGGAGCCAGATCTGTTTCTAGGGATAACTGTTTAACAGTTTTGCTCCCAAGCAATTAAATGCAAGGAAGCGTCCAACTGATGGCAGCACATCGCTGTCCACGTTTTTTAAGAGAACATCACTATATATATTTTGCACCTGGATTGATGCCTACACACATATTGGACATGGCACACACCACACTGCAGTGCGTAATCTTCGTTGTATGAGAAAGGCATTTAACGAGGAGGAAGAAGAAGAAGAAGATTTCAGTAGCTTATAACAGTTACTGTAACTTCTTGATATAACCTTGGAGGTCCATGATATAACCAAGTATTATGAAACCGGACCCAGATCATCTGTTCATCTGGATATCACAAAAGCAGTACATTGCCGTTACCTAACCTAATCATTGTTGGAAATCATTCATGAGGAGATAATGGCACTTTCTCCGGCCAAAATAGTCTGTCTAAATCACTCTTGTCTGCATGTGTCTTCTAGGAATTTGCAGGGATTCGTCCAATTACTATTGTTCATTTCAGTATTACAAGCTCTTCATCTATTAATACAGCCATTGCATTGAAACGCAAAGATTACTTGCATTGTGTTTTTCAGTTTTCATTTAACATGAGGAAAGAAAAGTTGTAAAGCAAAGATTTCACTAGGGTCCTTGTGGCATTGGTGTAACATAAGGCAAGGACAGAAGACCATTAAAATGAATTAAATTTTGGTAAGGCTTCGATTTGGTGTTATCTAGCTCAAATAGCTCTAAATCACAGGCTTGTTTAACCAATCAGCACTGTTATGTTTGCAAGGTCTAAACATATACTGAGTGCCATAACAGGCTTTTTAACACATGAGGAAAAGATGTACTTTAAAAATGCTGTCTGTATAATGTACAACAACTGCAGAACTAAAGGGGGCATACACACAAGATTATCAAGATAGGCTACTGATACTAGTACCGGTAAATGTTAAGTGTATTGTATAAATAAATGTTTAAGTGACATATGACATCATCACCATTCCCAGCATCTTTATAGCTATCAATTATCATCATCGCTCACTTTCAGTATTAACATCATCATCGTATCACCAATCACTTTCATTTCAATTCAACTATCACCATTTAGGTAAGAAGTTGGGTAATTGCCATCAATAAAATATATACCCTAGTCATCAACATTGTAATTTGAATCAATAATAACGGTAATTACTATCATCATCCTCATCATCCTTGCCATTGTCGTCCTCATCCTCATCCTCATCCTCATCGTCATCATCATCATCATCATCGCCACAACCACCACCTTCTTCACCACCACAACCACCACCACCAACAACAACAAAACCATCACCACCACCAAAACCATCACCACCATCATCATCATCATCATCATCATCATCATCATCATCATCATCATCATCATCATCATCATCATCATCATCATCATCATCATCATCATCATCATCATCATCATCATCATCATCTTACCTGGAAGTGAAGGATGATGGTCCAGATGAGGCCTAGGATGAGTTTGGGATTGCCATCCACTATTTCTTCATTCCTTATGTTTACCATTTTAATCTAGGGAAAAATTACAAATTAAAAAAATTAATATATTTTACACTAGCCTAATCAGAGTAGGTACTCCTTGTTGACATATTAAACAAATTAATCATCATGAAATAATGATTTCATGTACCTTCATTTTAAACCAAATACCGGTAAAAAAAAAAATTAAAAAAGGAGCATTTTTTAAACCATGATTAGTTAATATCTACTGTAGATTACCTTCTGATTAATATCATTCTGATCCAGTATAGCGAGATATATGTTGCTTTGTTGTTGCTTGTTTCTTTAAATTTGTTTTATTTCTTAAAAGCAATTAGATAACCTGGTGTTTGACCACTACTATAATATTTAAAAAATTGGTGCCCAAAAACATCAAACATTAAAGAAATGTTACGATTTACTAGTATGACCACGGCAGAATACACATATTGATACTAATCAAGAATACATTGGATATTACTACATATGCAGCAAGTACAAAACATTTTTATATTTATATATCTATACAAGCATTTTGAATATATATTGCTCAACTCCAAGCTAACCTAAACTAATTCCGACCACACAATAAATAATTATGAAAAATGATAAATTAATACTTTTACTTTGTTATATCAAACACAGTTTTTTTTTATTCTAACTGAACTTACTTTTCTCCTCCTGAGGAAGGCAAGGGCATTTTCAACATTCTGAAGTTTGTGTATTCGTAGTGGACCTTTCTCTCTTTGCTAAATGATTAAAAAAAGACATAGAATCACTCCATAAAAACATTTATACTTAACAACTGAACTGTTCATACCCCTCATAAATTTATTGTTGTTTGTGTTTTTTGTATCTTAAGAATGAAAGGTGGACTGGATGAATTAGAGCCTTTGGTGAATACTTTCAGATGAAAGCTTTCATTTGTCCCCTTCTCAAGAAACATAAATCAGGACAAGTCCATTTTTCACATACTTAGAGCATCAGAAAACTTGATAAGGATATGACTAATTTAGTTGTTAACTGTACATACTGCAAGTCGAAGGAGTAAAATAGGTATTAGTTGATTTAGGGTGTGCTCTTTTATGAATCAAATTGATAGACATAGTGGGTACAACTCCTCATGTACTTAAATGATGCATAAAATTCAAAAGAAATATTAACACTTTTGCACAATGAACTGGAATTTACTCATGGGCTAATGTCGATAAGCACGTTGCTATTTGTTAGCTCCAGTTATCAAATAATTTGTTTGTTTATTGTATCAACTATAAATGAATGCACATGTTAGTGATTTGGTAATAAATTCAAACTAAAAAACAAACTCAATTTGGTACACACACAAAAAAGAATGCAGGCTATTTACACTTATATTCACACTTTCTTCTGAATCTGCTGAAGAGACACTGGTTGTATTTTTATAATATTTTACTCATTTTAGCGCAGTAAAAGATTGTCATTTCTTGAAAGTTTACATCCAATTCATACCTATTTATTGAAGGGCAGAGAACACTTACAATTTTTTCTTGGCCCAGTACTTCAAGGAGAGCGATGAGATTGGTGCCATCTTTCAGATCTTCAAACAGGTCCTTCACCTGTCTCTTTGCCTGTACAACAATGAAAGAAATGAAAACCATTCATTGATTTATGAGCATGAAATTATCAGTTACAAGAAGGTTGAGTATAAAATGTTCTTACAAATATCTAAGAGGATATACATGTTCTTCTCAAGAGATGAATTCAAGAAATTTGAAGAATATTTACAGGAAAAGACAAACACACATTCATAAGAAATGTAATATGATGGCATAGTAATTGGATAGTATGCAATCACAACAAAGAGATGGAAAAAGATAAGGTAGAATTTCAAAAGAAAAAAAATGGATTTCATACAGTAACATCTGTTGCTATGTCAGCACTACCAACAGCTGGTAAAAATTAGTATGAGAGAACAGTTTTTACATTTTCAAATCTTGAAGATAATAATAATTCAAATAAAAGAAGAGAATTTATTGAAGAATGAAAAGAGACAAGAAAATAAATTTTATGTATAAAAAAAAAAATTGACACAAAATGACAAAACAGAAGAAAATATATGCAAAAAGAATTTGATCAAGTTCAAATGTAATCCTCCATAGTTCCCAAATACAAATGACCTTTACCTGACCTATTGTAATACTAAGACAGTTTAAGTTTAAATTCTCTCCTCTGTCTTTATATATCTTTTAAAATCTTTTCTTTGCAGTGCAACAAAATGAAACGAAAGTGATTCACAGAAATCTTTTATGAACATGCATGTGTATATTTGACAAAATAAATATTAACATTACAGGTGTGATGTGTCTATTTGATTTGACATAAATCTATAGATTGAGTGTGATTGAAAGCAGGTCTTCTTCCCATGAGCCTGATTACATATACTGTACTTTCAATATTCACATGCAATGGACTTTAGTAATAACTAATCCATGAACCCCTCAATTAATCCTCCCTCACTCTCTCTCTCTCTCTCTCTCTCTCTCTCTCTCTCTCTCTCTCTCACATGGTGCACCTGCAAGCCTACTGTATAACTAATCCATGTTTCATAAAAACTGAATATCAATAACAACTTATAATACTTATTTGAGCTTTTACTTCATGCGTTTAATATTTCAGGTTCTGCATTGCAATGAACATATTCATATTCATTAGGCCCATTTGAAATTAATATGCATGCTCAAAAGATGTTATCAATAGACCAGAGGACCAAGTGACGAGTTATTTCATTAACCTGTTTTTTAATGAATGAAATACAATACTTCGATCCAGTCTGCATACATTAGTTGTTGCTATGTTGGGCATGACTTGGGCAAGCTTTCAGGTTGTCAAGAATAACTTCTTTATTTTTAAAGTATGCATAAAATTTGAATATGTTAGTAAACTGGTCTATTTGTTCCTAATGAAGTTGGCCTCAATGTTCATCTTTAGAACGGGACGCTGATTCTTTAGCAGGTTTTTGTTTCAAAAATGCTCAAACGTGCGTTTCCTTAAATATGACATTTCATTATACCACATTTAGACTAGGGAAAATCTTAATGACTAAGCTATACGCTAATCATATAGCTTTACGCTGAATTCTTATAGTCTGAACGGAGGTTTAAAAGCAATCAAGGCACCTGTACCATTCATCAATACTACCCTTACAGTGACCCAATCTCATTTTCATTGAGAAGTTTATATATTTGTAGAGCTCGGCTGCAGCCAGACAAATTAATGTTCTTCTAGTTGAGAGTGCTAGACATGGTGGGTAGTTGGAGTGGCATTTCTCACGCCCACTCCCTCTTACTTGCTCCACCAAAACCGCACTGATTATTTTCTTGATGGAGGCGGGCCGGGAGGATTTACTCAGCGGACGTGCAGAGCTCAAAGGTTGGGAGAGACGAAGGGTGCCCGAGATGGAGGGAGAAGGTGTAGAAGATATATAAAGAAAGAAAGAAAGAAATAAAAAAGAAAGAAAATGAAGAATGATAGAGCTCAAAGTTCAGAGAGGAGAGGGTTTAGAGAGGGGGAGGGGAGGTGTACAAATAGTAGAGAATGGCAGAGAGATCTAAAGATAGCAGATAAATATACAAAGGAGCAGGGGATCTTTCTAAAAAAAAAAAGGGTCAAAGGTTCAGAGAGGATCGTGAGATGAGGTCGAAGGTGAGCAAAAAGTAAAAAACAGAAGAGAGAGATGAAGTTCAAAAAAGATAGAGAAAATAGTAGAAAGAAAATGAAGAAATATATAGAGCTCAAAGATTTGGATAGGAGGGTGAGATGGGGGAGAAGGTGTAGAAATAGTAAAGAATGGTAGAGAGATCTAAAGATAGCAGAGAAATATACAAAGAAGCAGGGGGGAAACAAAAATAGAGAGCTCAAAGATTTGGAGAGAAAGGTGACATGGGGAGAAGGAGTACAAACATATGTAGAGAAGAGAAGAGAGAGGTTTTAAATAAGAAAAGAGAGCAGAGAAATTAACATCAGAGCAGGGATAAAACTCAGCTGTTAGAAGAAGAGAGAAAAAACAGAAAAATAGAAAAAATGCAGTGTGTCTGTCTGTTGCCATTAGCAACACCAGGAAACATTCTCATCAATCACCTCTCCCTAAGTCATTCACACAAGTGGACGATGTATTCATGATCAAGTTCTTTTTTATATTTCCATCAACATTCTGTTTATTCTTAGACCACTCTATATCTTAGAAATAGCATTTATGGATTTATTTTGAAAGCTCAATCATGTTTTTTTCCACGAAGAGAAGAATAGGGATTGATTACTCACAAGAGTGGTTCAAGCTGTCTTCTTTTTTTAAGGGAAATTGAACTGTAAGATGAACCATTCAACAATGACATTCCATAGGGGCATGCTAGACATTACTGACTCACACAAATAAAAACATCCTAAGGTCCTTAATTTTTGGGCGCAGGGGTTCATGACATATCTCAAATGTTATCATTTAAGGATCTTAACTGTCCAATTATGGTCAGAATCGTTAAAGTTTCAGACATAAGCATGGAATCTGACAGCAAAGAGCAAAGTTGGTTATGGCTCCATCTCTGGAAAACTTCAGAGGCACACACTCTATAATGCGCTCCTATGCCTTTCTCAAGCTAGCAACATGAAGAGTACAGCCCTGCTGTGAACAACTTCAGAAGGTTCAGAAGTTAAACTGATGGTAAATATCCCCACAAATACACACAAACACTTTCCTGTGGTACAAACTTTTTCAACTTCTATTTGCCTTAGGCTCCAAATTATGTCTTATTTTTAAAGGGGTCCAGAGTGAACAACTTAGAGTATGCATGCATGAACCCTATGTTAAAATGTTCACATTTCGGGGGTCTGAAATTAGATTTGAGGCACTTCAAAGCTCTGATTTGAGGATTGTTACAAGTAGAGAGGATCTATAATTCAAATATTAATACCGGTAAGTTAAACACTTTATATGCCTTCACTATGAAGAAGACAAAGGTCCTATTTCAATGACAACTGCCACAAATCTATGACAAATCTGCTTAACTGGGCATAGTGGCTCAGTGGTTAGAGTGCCCGCCTCATTAACGGGAAGTCGTGGGTTCGAACCCTGAGTCATACCAAAGACTTATTACAATGGGACCTTCTGCCTTCTAGCTAGGCACTCAGCATATCAGATTAGAGAAGGTTAGTAATAACATATTATGTTATGCAGGGCCCGCTGGAAGAGCAGTTTCATAACTTAAGTGGCTACCCTGGGTAAATAAAACGTTATTATTATATATATTGCAGCCCAAAATGCATGGTTTTCAGTAGCTTATAACAATCATTGTATCTTGTTATTGATAATTAGGGCCCTGTTTCTGGTAAACATCACATAATCTATCACTCCTCTGCTGACTGATGTACAGTTTGAACCAAACCATTACGTTACGAAATGGCTTCCATGGAAACCTCAGTTATAAAACCAGTCCCAGGCAACTGTGTGAAATTTGGATTGAGCAGCCCATCCCACTTTGGAAGCTTCCCGAAATGCACCTCTCTCAGCCCTCCTAGCTGCACCCCTGATGGTGCCTATGCTCTTTGACAAACCAACCGACTTGAAAAGAGAGCGGGTGAGGAAAAAAATTGAAGCAGAAAAGCAAACTCGACTTGAGAAAACAACTCCTACGGTGCAAATAATAATGCATTTTCACAAGTCGTACAATACAATTGAATATGTCAAGGTTTTTTTTTAGGTCTTGTTCTTTTTTTTTTCTTCTTCCTTTTGGTGGAGTATTCATTGAGTCACAGGCAGGAAGCAAATATCATACTGGGTGATACATGATGAATATCTCACCAAAGTTTAACCAGCGACACCCATTTGAATGTTAGCAGTACTTACGGTAGTGCAGTTAGCAGTTTCAGTATATTGTTATACACTATCTTCTGGATTATTATAGTCTATATCGATATATATTGTATCAAGATTTTAGATTCATTGAGATAGTTAACATACCGTATCTCTATAGTCGTTTGGCAAGACATTAATCTACATTTGCCACTCAATACCCAGGAAAGATTGGTGACTATATGGTAGGAATAATCCCCAAGGAATTGCCCTTTATTTTGATATTTTGAAGGGGGAAAATGTGTTTTTTTTATATTCCACATTCTCTCTCCCTCTTTCCCCTTTTCTCTATATATCTCTATCTTTCTCTCTCTCTCTCTCTCTCTATCTCTCTCCTTTTCCCTTCTCCCCTCTCTCTCTCTCTCTCTCCCTTTCTCTGTATTTTGTCTTACACAAGTCTCCTTTCCTTCATTTCTTCTCTTTCCTTCATCTACTTTTGTTTATGCACAGTTCTCTCTCCAGGGCTCTATTTTCCTTCCTTCTCTAATCCTCACAATCTAATTCATATTAATATTCTCTCAATAAGTGTCTGACTCCAACCCAACACAAAAGACAATTCCTACCAGGGCACTGCCTGCCGTTCTTACAAAACTCAACAAACAAAAACCAGTCAAACTTTATCAAAACCACGACTCAAAAGAACCTTTCAAGATCGTGATCCGACACTTCCAACTATTGAAATAAAAATGAAAGGAAAAAAAAAGGTTTTCACAGGTCACTACCTGATCACAATTCCTGGGGACTTTGCAGACTCGCTATAGATCACGGCATCTGA